CAACATTTCACAACCAAACTTCCTACACTGTGATTGGCTAATTTTGACAGTTCTTTGACAGCCACTGTGAAAGAATGCTTGCTATTGGTAAAAACTTCTGACATTTACTTATAAATGGCTTTTTTTAGCTAAGTCGAAAAGAGTTTGAGTCAGAGCTCAAAGGTTCTAAAAAACCGCGAAGCTTTCTAATAAGTTCAGCTAAGAAAAGCAATGTCAATTTCGCTTGACAACATAGACATTCACGTTCTGGATGGAGCAGCCATTGAAGATCGACTCTGGAATGGAGTTGATGGCCATCTCAGACTGTACAACCTGTACAGAAGTGGAAGCAGACGAAACAGCCCTGGGATCTCGATCAAGTCTTCTACTCTCGCCTTCTGAATCGGTCAATGCACTGGAAATCACGTCCGAGCAGGTCTTTAGTTGCTGGACCGATGGTCTTCTGTTATAAGATAGAATACTCTGTTCATTGGTATGTCCAGAGATGCTCATTATGTGACGAGTCGGGATTCCAGCATTTGACCACATGGTGATAGCTGTTGCTCTGACGCTGTGGTTCGTGTAGACTTTTGACAAGCCGGCTCCGATAGAGATTGACTTCATAATATCACCCAACTTGTTGACACCTAGAGGCTTGTTTTCATACCACACTGGTTCCTCTGGTGTAAAGATTGGCACTGGTCTTTGAAAGAACGCTTGTTGTTTGGGGTTAAGTTTGGAAAGATAGTACTTCAGGCACCACAGCGAATCGCCAGTTTCACCTGTTGAATACAACCGTGTTTCGTTTTCATAACTCTGCTTGTCACAAAAGCCACCCTGATGGTTTTTGGTCTGCTCCTCGTGAGTCATGCTTGCATATTCCTTTCCTTCACCGTCAAGATCAAAAGTAAAGCTTTTTCGGCGGAGCAGTCTTTGGCCCTCACAACCACGGCGGCACCAATACAGGGTCACTATGAACCACACTTGCCGAAGGAGGCCGTAAGGATTCTCGTGGCTCAAAAAAGGATTTTTCTTGACCTTACTCACATCGACTGGCTCAATGACTGGTTTGTGTTTGGTATTTTGTTTCTGCTCTCTTTTGTTGACCTTCAGCTTGCTCTCCAGTATCTTGTTAGAGCTGTAAAATGCTGGGTTGTTAGTGAGCTTCATTGCTTTACCATTGACTGCAAAATGGCGTTCAACAGCATTCCTGAACCCAAGCAGCGAGGAGCGGCTATACTCTTCACCTTTCTGGTTTCTGGCCTCTGCATAAAACCTCCTCAGGATGTCATTTAGCTCGGCCTCTGTTACATCCAAGGGCTTGCAAATTTTTCGCTCATGGTACCATTCTGAAAATTGCATCAACAACTAGTAAGTAACTAAAAGTGAAAGTAAGATTATTTCTGTAAATTTCTTTACCTTTTCAATATTAGCTAGGTTTTAACGCATATTTGCTAGAAAAAAATGAGCTGACCTACCTTGCAACAGTTTTAATACCCATTTGGTGTTTC